TTCCTGGAGGATACTGAGACCTGAAGGATAATCAAGAATTAGAAGAAGAAAGAACTTCCAGGCAGAGGGACTAAAGATATGAGAAACACAGCATTCATCTAGTCATAGGATTGTTCCTTGGTCCTTTACCGAGAGTATTTGGATAATAGTTAATTGGGTTTGGAGCCTTCTTCCTTGACCATGGTTGGTGAGAAATAGACAGATTTCTGGAAGCAGGTATACAGATAACAGCAAGAATGACAGCAGATACCCTGTGTTTTTAATCTGTAACAATTATTGACTATTTCCTGCACTCTGGGCGCTCCTTTAAGCACTTTATACATTTAATCCTCGTTTGGTCCTTACAAGAACCCTCTGAAATGTGATTCTATTATGATCTTCATTTTAAAGATGAGGAAACCAAGGCAAAGAGAAGTGCGGGAAGTTGCCCAAGGTCACACAGTTAGAAAGGTTAAGTCAGAATTCTAATCAAGGCAGATTGGCTTTTGATAGCTATGTTATACTGGTAATTCATTCAAGGAACAACAATTAAGCACCTAGTATATGACAGGCACTGCACTCAGGTATGAGGATGGAAGGATGAATTAGAACCAGTTCCTGCCCTCTTGTGACTTGTAGTTAGTGAATAAGACAGACGTGTTAAGAAATAATCACAACCATGTGATATGTGATATAGTAGAAAAGGGGCAACAGGTTGAGGATTTACAGAGGAAGACATGAGAAACCTGTTGAGAGTGTTCCATTTATCAAAGTTTTAACATTCTTTTCCCCCCCACCAAATATCCCTTTTATGCATAGTTCTGGACCTCTTAACTTACTGTCTTTACCCCATTCTGATTGTATCCTAGTATATAGAATATCTCTTAAAATATAATGTCCAGAATTAATCATACTTAAGATGTGCCTGGCACAACAGCACCATAAACATCAGGATTCAGGCATGGGATTGCAAATTTTCTGTGGGGCTGATGGATTTACACCCTCTACCCAATTGAAGATCACTGCTTTATTGATACTGTTTCTTACGGGGCCATTGTACCACTCAGATGCATTTGGCCTGACAGAAGGTTGAGAACTATTAATCTTCATCATACTGTGTTATTAGATGTGCTTTAGATATTTTAGCAGCTTTATTAGGTTCAACTCAGAGTGAGCTTGTGACCAGCTAACCTCAGATACTTAACTATAGCCTGCTGACAAATGGGTGTTCTCTACCCTGTTCCTGAGCAGCTGAATTTTTTTTAGTGTAAACTTAGAACTTTATACTTATCCCCCCAATTTTTATTTTTATTTTCTTTTTTTCTGTTTCTTTACCAAAAAGAGAGGTTGATTTCATCTCAGTCATTTAATCTATTAGGGAAACTAACACTTCTCAGTGATCTGGAGTTTGGATAAACATGCCTTAATATTTTTCAATTTCTCATTCAAATTATTGGGAAGAATTTTGGATAGGACCATGAGCAATGCCTCCTGGCATGGTG